GTGAAAATATCAACATTCGTATTAAGAGTGTGTTGTATTTGGATATTTACTTTCTCTGAAATGAAACAACGGTATTTTCTAGCTTTTTTATTCGAAATGCAAGGGCTTAGGAAATGGAAACTATGTGAAAATCCACAGAAAATCCATTTAAGTGGTCCAGAATTAAACAAACTTTTCGTCTTATCATCTCATAAAAAATCACACATTACGTATAAATTCCCTTATTATGCATTGCCTGATGAAATGGCACTCTGTCAGTGTACCTTTTTCAAAGGATGTAGAAATCTTACCCGTTCAACAAGTTTAAATTGTTATTTTCAAACTGATGAAAATACTGGTGTCACAGGGGTAAGAATAACACCAATGTTCTAAATATTAACATGTTTATCTACTAGGAAAGGAAATTGTGAAAGCAAGAGAAATGGACATATGAAATTTCTGGAAATTTAAGATATACGTAGTTTCAAAGGGTAATTATTTTAGTTGACAGCTGAATTTACGATGAACCGACATTCATTCTATTATTCTGAATTTTGAATACATTAGATGTATATATTGAATATATTCACTACATAAATTTTAATTCACGACAGGACATATTTTTTAAACAATACTATTTTTAGGATAAAAGGAATCGGCCCACAAAGAGAAATAAATTCATGCTAAAATAATGAATATGGAATATTTTGAAATAACGAGCTGATATAACAGGGGAAATTATACAATACCCAAGTTTATAGTGTTCCATCAATGGTAGTGCACTGTGGGTTTCAAAATTGATGCAACTGCTCAATTTCCTTCTATTCCCTCTTTTATCTTTTCCAGCATTGTGACAAATCATTAGTTTCCCCTCAGCATCTTTATCACCAGCAATTTCTGCTTTGTTTGGATGCTGAACAGTCCTTCCTTTATTTCCAGCACGGAAAGGACTTTGGGAAATGTACAGAAAGAGGGAAATACTTAAGAAAATGGGTGGTGTAGCAATTAGAAGCTCATTACCAGTGAAGACGTCAGACATCAACAAATCTCCATTTACCAAAGTTCGTTGATTATCTCTTGAATACTTCAGTGTAATTATTTGAAGTGAATGATTATGAATCTATTCTAAGAAACGACTACCTTGCAATTTACGCACTTCCTATTTTAATTTTTTCCTCATTAATGTTTACCCTATCTTACTTTGAAAAGGATTACTGCAATTTATAGGAAAAGACCGTTCTTGTGATAAAGATCGTTTTATTTAAATAAATTGTAACATTCTATCAGTATGCGAAAAGACATGTATTATTCGCATCTCTAAAATAATTTTAACTCCAAACTCAAAGTATTTTGTGAAAATGAGCTCAAAATTGTGCATATTCGGAACCGATCAAACGACATCTTTTTCAGACACGCCTCTAAATGTTTCAATGACATTTTGCACATAACACTACGTTTTACTCTTCAATGATATGATTAAGTTATGTTTCAATTCTACTATTAGGGAGACAAAATTTCTTCATAAAACACTATTTGACCGTTAGTAATTTTAAATAAACTAAATAATTTTCTCAAATGATACATAATGTAAATATTATGATCCACATTTTTGCAGTTAGTTTATCTTAACAAAATTGATCACTTTTGAGTGCGATGTCGATATATTTTAATGTTCGAAAGTAACTTTGTTTTAAACATTGCTATGGAAACGAATGGTGTTAAAGTTATTCAAATATATAGATCCAATGCTACAAAGCTTATTAAAGGCCGAATATGCATAAAGACATCAGCTACAGTTGTACTCTACTTAGTTTCAACACATTATTAATGTTACATCACCGTAACGCTCAAGTCGTCATGGCCCTATGGTCTCATGAGACAGAGTCTTTGGGGTCAGTGAGCCCAAGTAGATGGACACTTAATTTGAGTTTTGAAACCCGTGAAAAGGAAGAATGTTTTAAGTTGTGTTCGTGGTGTGTGATTGGTGGGGGGGAGGCATTCCGAGACTGTGCAGGTTGTCAATTGTTTTTTCAAATACCTAAGAAATAAGGAAAAATACAAAATCATGTACTAAATTAATAATTTCCCAAAATTGATAGAAAACTATGCAGCCTCCGGCCATGTGACAGATGTCTGTGATTTCGTTAGATACACAGGAACATTTTCGAGTTTATCTGGAATTGCCAATATTTGATTATGTTATAACGTCTATTCTCACGCACCTCCTACCGACTGAAGTCTCATATATTATTATCATGTGAAGAACTGAATGTACACTACGATGTTATTGCAGTTCTCGCAAAGTCATCTTATTTTAAAACACTTTAGTTGCAGTGTCATTTAAGTGTTTTTTTATTTGTTGTTGCATGCTCTCTTTTACTCGGAAAAACGTTTGTGTGATTTTGTTCAGCAACAGTTTTGCTACTGCAGGCCACTAGTTACATTCATATCCTAATTCATCCATAATGTTTTAGTCTGACAGGCAACTTCAGGGCAACTGTTTGCAATCGAGAAACTGGTAGGAAGTGCAAGAAGAAATAAGCGCCAAGTGAAGCCAAATACGTAATGAAGGGCAAATATGTTCGGGGAGCGCGTAGACGCTCTTCATTGGGAATTTGAATCCAGAGAAACGGTAGGAAGGTACCGCAAGAGCTCCTCTAGGTATCTTAGGCGTAGATAGATGGCAGCATGGAAGTAGGTGGGGGAAAATCACGCAAAGGAATAGACAACTAACTAGTCAATAAAGGTTGTGCCATTTTGTAGCACCACTAGTTTATTCTTTTAACAATATTATTTAACGAAACATTTTAATGATCATTGATTAAAAGAATAGGCGACGATGACTTCAAATTTAACTAGCGCCCTCTTAGGAGTGTTTTCTTTAGTTTCATGGAGGAAAACTTTGAACTTAACTCGTAACACTAATGTTAAACTTATTCGTGCGGTTCTTAAATACGATCTGTAAACAATATCTCAACAAGTTTTTGGCGTACTATACGAATAAATTAGTAGTTGCCTGAGTGATAAGATGATATTACGTACGCAAGTCAAAACCCTAGGGTATTTCAACAGGGTCTTTTAATGGTACTTTGAATGGCAGATATATGATTAGAATAAATGAACATTTATTCACATCAAATGCATCAATTTTTGTAAGAGAGGGACATGCATTCTTTACATAAACAATGTAGCTTGAAGTGCTGACACATTTTAGACTGGTAGAGTTTGCTCCCACAGAAGGATCATTGGCTCATTATATGCACTTACACATCCACGAAAGAAAGTTGTGGTCACGCACGAGAGACAATTTCGTTCGACGAACACTGCAGTTGGTTCACGGCACAGATTTTATATATGCTTCCGTATTCAGCCGTATATTATAACATATTATGCAAATTATTGGGTAAATTAAAATTGGGGGTTACCGCACAATCAAAAATCAAAAATTTCAAGTGACATGCACAATAGTGCTGACACCAAAATTGTCTAAAAAGGGCCTTCAATTTGTTCGCAGGGTTTGACGTGACGCCGGAAATATGTCCGAGCGCCGCGGAGAATTCGTCGACTTTGATTAAAGAACAATTTAAAGTGTAATGCTAATTCCAAAACTGTCTAAAATATTATATTCGCACAAAGGCAATAATTCTTTACATGACACGTGAAACGCGTCCGTATGACACGGATAACACTTCGTTTCAGATTTTAACGGAACTTCGCTGTGCCCAATTGCATAATAGTAGTTTATGCAATTAGTTTATAATGTAATAAAGCAACATTATGAACGAGTTGCATACTATATTTTTTTGTATAACAGCATTACACATTTATAAGAGAATCAAACTTAATTTTGCGAAACTACTTCCCTGTGACGACTCAGGTATTTGACATCGTGCTCATGGAAATGTTGAGGCTTCATGTAAACTATCCCCAAAATTCCCAAGATTTTCAAACTTACAGGATAGGATCAATTTTGGAGAAAATCGTCTGAACTGTTCTAGAGGCTTGCATTTATTACTGACTGACGACATTTTGCCCTCAACCAAGTTTTTGCTGACAAGGACCTATAAAACGTGATTTCTAACTACACATCGCGTTAGAGGAAGTAATTTACTACGCTTATAGAATCAATATTTATCCACTTCTTTGACACCAGTGTCCCTCAATTCAAGCATTTCTCTGGAAAATCTCCGATTTTTACCGCCGCATTCCAATACTTTCGTTTTACTATGCAAGTGCGCAGTAGGCGAGAAAAAAACGAATAACCATTTGAAATTACATTAAATACTAAGAAAATTATGAAAGAAACATAATAATATACACTAGGACTAATAATTTATAAAATAAGAGGTTCAACTTGGTTAAGAGACTTTAAAGTATCAAATACTATTCCATAATTTCTAAATAGTTTGTTTTTTAGATCTTAATATGTTTCATTTTTAAGTTATTTATTGTACTGCATTAGTAGAGAGTGAATTTTGCATTAAGTGCCGATTTTGTTCCTGAGGTAAAGAGAGTTGTTTAATGAAATATACATTATATGTGGCATCATATGTTTCTAATGTTACGAAGTGAATTGGAAACTGCACAAGACCTGATGGAAAAGATGCGAAGAAAATATCAACGAGTTCAAATCTGGAACTATTATCAAAGGTATCTGCCGTTCTTAAACGTGTAACTGGAGATATTGATCTATCGGAGTTGTCCCTTAGAGTGTTGTCAAACTTTCTTACAAACGCCATGTGAAGTATAGATAGTATTTTTCTTTATGTCTTACAAGAAAACCTTGAGGAAAATATAGTTGTATGCTGTACCAACTGTGAAAGTGATTTTAATAATATTTAAGTGAAAATGAGATAAAATGAATACGTTGGAATCGTAACACAAACATCTGATAAATTATTTTTTTACTGTCTATTTTTTTATGTTTGTAATTATTTTAGACGTATTAAGCGAAATTTTTAAGCCCATTTTGTTTATAAAATTCCGCTCTGTATTGGTGAGGGATGCATTGTTTTATCAATATGGGTCGTGAAGTTTTCATCTGTCTAGAATACGGTACATCAAAATTAGAAAAGTAAAAAAAAGTATAAATAGAACTCTTTAAGTTTTCGAATTTTTTCAAATTCTAAAAGACTTACGATATGCCTGCACAGCATTTTGCACTTCGACTGACCTCGGGAGCCTTGCGTGAGTAACCTCAGTGGAACCGGGGACGCGTGGATGGGTGGGGATAAGACTCGCTCAAGGAGTGGGGCCGCTAAGGAGATTGCGCAATTCTAACCGTGGCGCGTAAATTGAAAGAAATTTACATACAGTAAATATCATTACCTTTAATTTTGAAAATATTTGTTGTACATGTATGACAATATGAACTTAAAACGAATTAGACATATATATTTGATTTGAATACCAGTATTATAATTACTTATGGAGCTAATAATGTAATTTGCTTTGCTTCGATGTAATCACAAATTGTGTGTGGTGATAAATACAAAATGTTATTATTGAATATTTTTTATGATGACAGTAATAAATATTTTTTATTTTAAAAATTGATTTAGATGGTTAAAAGTTTTTAAAAAATTATTAAAAACCCATTATTACTTTCTACTCTAATTTTTGACAAGAATACATTATATATTTCGATTTCCAAATCAACTAACCCTATTTATTCATAATCATTTGCGACATTTTATTACAAAAATTACGTTTTAATTAACAAGACATAATCACATCATGATTGCCCATAAAATATCGTAAAAGATGTTTGCTCGTTGGTATATCTTATTCAGTTTCATAATTAGAGAAAATCGTCACAAACAGTATAAGTGCTGCCGAACATTACCCTTCTTGGAATTGCTTGTACAGAATTTCATTTTATATCAATCTCGATGTGAGATACTACTTTCAATTTCCTCCGTTTTGCTATCATTTGGGGATTATAACATTCCGGGTGAAAAATGAATATTTAAATTGTAAATTTTTGTTGGTTAAAATAACAGAATACATTTTTAAAGGACGCCACTTCTTTAAAATATTTATGAGTTTCAATGAACGTAAAGTAAAAAAATTAAAATATCTATTCATAGCAGTACACAAAAGAGCATAAACAGCAAAAATCCCCTTATAGCTAGAAATACGGCAGATTGCTCATTTAAATAAGTGGGCAAATCATTTCGTAGCGTAGATCGTTGCATTAGACACCCAGGCATTCAATCAACGCGCCACGTCGAACCCGCTCTGGCTTCCACCCCCCTCTCAAAAGCAGCCTATGCCCAAACTTTTACTTTCGCTGCTCTCGAGTGCTGAATGCCCGCGGGAGCAGGCATTGTACCGGCCTCACCGAGAAAAATAGATTTAGGTATTTTGAAATCACTATTGATATTGGCTTGAGTTGCTACAAATACAGAGAAATTAATTTCCGCAGTAACCCAATTTTTCTCAGGGAAATTATATTCCACACTTACTCCAAAATTATATTCCACACTTACTCCAAAATTATATTCCATACTTACTCCAAAATTATATTCCATACTTACTCCAGGTTTGTTCATCGACTTCTGCAGATAAAAATCGCCAATCCAAAACTATGTCCTTTGAAATTTGAATCAACGCGTTAAAAAATTCCCTCTTTGTATTCTAGAAAGTGAAAAGCCATTGGTCAGTGATTATTTATTGAAACCAATCGAATCGACCAGACATTGAAATTGAGTTGGACATTTTCAACGCTCTTGCGCCAGTTTCGAACAAATGTGGTTAAACTTTATACTGTTCAGACTATTTGCCATTGTTGAATTTGACAATTTTATTTTAAATGTAAATTATATCCTTGACTTTTATTTGAAAATTTAATTACCTCGTCAGCTTTAACGATGGAATTTCTTTTGTTAATTTTGACATTTGCCACTTAATTTTTTATATCTACCATTGAAAGGAAGTATCGGAAAGGAGTGGCATTGTAACGTAGCAAGTCCATGTAGTAAAATGAAAATGGAATTATGGAGGTAGGTACTAAGATTTGAATTTTTTTTTCATGGATACCACTGAATGTACATTTTATAAATGGTAAGGAATCCAAATCGGGAACGGTAGTGTAGTACCAAAAAGGTAATGTCGAAAATAAATTCTAAACAACTTTCAATTTCTCCTTTAATTTCACATTTGAGACTTTACATTTGACAAATCAAAACAAAGATTGTCAAAAAGTTTATTCTCCATGAAGTTATTCGGGTAGATGGGAGTTGTATAGACGAGATTTCTGTAGTTTGGAGACCGTATCATTGTGCTGAAATGGAGACTGATGTACCTGAAATCATAAAGAAAGACTTAGTATTGCAGCGATTGAAATTCAAGAAAGAGGGTGGCTATTGGGAAGATTATAGGAAAATGAAGTGGTTAAAACGGGAAAAGCAGACGACACTATTTCATATGACTCCTATCTGGAAAAAAAAAAAAAAAAAATTTCGGCACTTTGGGGACCTGAGTTTTTTTACGGTTATATAACCTATTTTGCGACTAAGAAAGTCTGTCCAAACCCTATAGATTCGTGAAATTGAGAACGGAATTTAACTAAATTCCAGGGGAAATTGTGAATATAAATGTAATGAGGACTTCCCACACTACGCCCATACCTGAATATAAAGTAAATGTAACAAAATCCATTTCCATTCATTTTGCGTGCAGAGTAAGCTGAAGTGCTTTTATCAAAGAATGCATAAAGAGACTAGTCTCAGTACAACGCCAGTTTTATGTTGGAGATGTTTATAGAATCGTAGTTTTAAACCTTCGCTGGAGTGGAATTTTTCGAAATGGTAAAGCGATTCTGAAACCAAGACCAAACCTCCCCCCCCCCTTTAATATCCCTTCCCCATCCCAACCCACCTGAAAAAGAGTACAACCCACCCCTTTAAACCCACCCTGTTGCAATTCTGCCCCTTTTTACACTTCGTTGAAGTTGTTGCGTTTTCATGGTTGATCCGAACTTTTACTTGCTCTTGAAATCCTAGTTTTAAGTCAGACCAATGTAAGATTGTAGAAAAAAATTAGTTTTCCAAAGCAGAAGCAGCGACCTGAAAAATGAAAAAAGTAATTATTACATAGAAATTTATTTATACACTAATTTCAAGCTTAACGGATTACTCACCAAGTTTTACGACGGTTCTTGACGACTTGTATAAACTAAATAATCGAAGATTTGAAGAAAAAAAAGAATTGAACAACATAATCCCACCCAACTCTGTGCCACGTTTACTAAATAATTTCTACTTTCCTTTTTTTGGCGTTTTCTCGAGAAAAAAAAAACGCCGACAAATCCCGCGTCGGGAGGCAGAGCCAAAATCTTTTACATTCTGAGAAAGAATTGTTCAATTCTTTCCTCGAATAGAAGTTTTGGGGAACCGCCTCCTTTGAAGCGTTGATCAACGATGCAACTGCGCTATTCTGACAGCGGGGGCGAACCTACGCAACTTTTGATTATGTCCCCCTGACTGTCAGACAGTGCCCTAACGCTGACGATTTCAACGATCCTACCTGAGCGAGCCAAGCTAAGAAGGGCCTCTACAGGCTCGCTTTCCGCGCTGCTACTCAACGATGAACACGTCACTAGAAATTACTGCATGCGAATCTAATATGGCACAAGAGGTCCCCTTACATCTAACTGGGCAGGGCCAAGGCTGTACATCCTCCCTGAAGACCCATCAATCTGAACTTAAAGGAGAAATCGGGAGGGCAAAAACGAAAACTTGCACTAATTACTTTCAATTGAAAAGTTTGCTGAAGATATTTCAATATCGAATATGACAAATGTTAAGCGTTTATGTTTACGTAGTTAATTTAAATATTAAAGTAAACCAGTAAAAAATTACTTCAAAATCATATTCTGGTAAATGTTGCTTAATATCAAGTTTGAATCGTGTAGTTTAATGAATAGTCTTAACAAGCTCAGCCCGATTACTCCTTTACACAACGCGCGCTCCCTAAGTACAGCCAAAGGGGGAGGTGACAGGTAGTGCCCAACATACCCACAGAATCGCCCGTTACAGGCGATCACTGCAGCTACGAGAGCCCACCACGTGGCGAAAGCCCTGCCCAGTACCAGACACCGACCGTTGGTTGCGCCCCAAACTGCAGACGGAGGCGAGGACATCACACTTGAGCGCAGCCGTTCAGCGCTCCCCTGGCGGGCCTCCAGGCCAGCCAGACCAGTCATCAGAACAGCCAAAGAAGTCCGACCGTGCCCGGCTTTATATGCGATGCGTTTCCCCAGACCCAGCATTCCCCTCCCCGGTATCTGATTGGCGGTTGGGAAAGGGATTTTCCCGCGGAAAACCTATTGCAATGCCTTTGCGACAAACGCACACTGGTAATTCTGTTTTATATAAACCCGAATATAACTTAAAAATGCACAGTGGATCCCCACAATTATGTTGTTGTATTTATTTGTTGGAGTATCAAACGTCTCTTCTTTGTACTGGCTATTAGTGGTGAAATAAAGAATTTTCCAGAAATGCCGCCTGACGTTCAAGAAACAAGAGTAGGGGGAGGTCGCCTGACGTCATGGAGGGCGAATTGGAGAAGGGGAATTTTTCGCAGTCCCGAAGCGACCGTCATGGAGGCATGATACAGTCAACTTAATCGCGCGGTGGGCTTGTAAGATTGGGGTTTCAGAAAAGGTCTTGGCATGCACCAATATTTCAGTCTCATTTAATCGGAAAAATTATTTACATTTGTGATAATTATACAATATTGTTAACATGAGAAATACGATGTCTAGTTAGCGATATTTTTTTAATATTTAAAATCTTATAACAATTTTAACGTCTTATAACAAACTAATGTTTAAGCACTGTGTCATATAAGTATTAAAATATTAAACGTTATAATGTAAGTATTACAAATATTGAATATTGTATAAAATGTCACATTTCTCAATTTATTACAAAATATCAATCTCACTGGTAATATTGCTAATTGTTTTGTGAGTAGATTTAAATTTAAATTTATTATTTTAGTGTTCTCGTAACGTAAAATTTGTGGGTAAGTTGGGTTGTTGGTATTAATGTTATTTTAAGAATTTGCTGATTTCAATGTGCATGAATCACAACGCTTCAGACGTCTTGATTTTTTATTCGATGTTATATTGTAATTTTATGATTTTCCGGAGCTGATTGAAATGAAAACTTTCTACTTTATTTGGAATCCAGCTTACATGTATAGTGGGTTACCTGTATAGTGGGTTTTATAGTAGGTTATTTATATTTTATATACGTTATTTTACCGCTCAGCTGAGTAAGAAAGTAAGTACACCCACAAATAAAAAGAAATAATTAAAGATCATAATATTTCTAAATAATTGCTTTTTTTCTCAAAAATATTACGAGAATTTTGCAGTGGGCTCCAAGAGTCGCTTGTATTCGCCAATTTAGAGAAACCTGAAAGAAAATGAAACTGAATGACGCTGAGTAGAAGTGGGAGTTTATTCTATATTTACTTGAAACAAATTCTTTGGTGTTTCACTTCAAATAAAGTTTCTAAAAATGCTCGAACTGATTGCCGAGAATTTTATTAAGCATTGCTTCTTTCAGTGACGGCAGGTTGTTGTTCTGACCTTCAATTTGTTGGAAAAGTTCATTACTTTACCTCTGGAAACAATTTCACAAGGTAAAGCCTCTCTGTTTCAGCAATGACAAACTCGAATAATGTTCGAGTTACATCAATTAAACGAATCTAATGAGACAGGGTATTTTATCAGCAAGTCATGTGTAGAATAGAAGGATGTACACTCCTATAAATTATTACTAATTTTTAACTTTGTTACCATCTTTTGTAAGGTAAGTTATGATACTTTAGCACTCGGCATTGAAATACCTTGTCTGCTCTGGTGTAAGTAAAATCCTGCAGTGATAATTGACCTTGGTTTTATCATAGTTTATTTTAAATGCATTTAACAGAATAGTATATTTAATTTACGTACTCTAATGAATGAAAGCCATGATACCCTTCATTTCTAGTTCAAATATTTGAGTTTGGTTTTAAATGTAATAAGTGTGAATTAATTAAAGTATTGAAAGAAGTACTAGGTCTGATAGTAACTCGAGTGATTAACAGTTTTAAAGTATTTTCGAAATAGTTTTCCAAACATAACTCGGAAAACTGTACCAATGTGAAGGTCTTTACGTCAACATTAGATGTTCAATGCTTCAGATATCCAGGGTTATAAGATATCGCGTTTAACTATTGTACATTTTGAAGATTAATTTTATACCTTTTCGTTGTCAATATATTGCTTCTGAAACGGCTAGAACAAAAAACCAAAAAAATTGTTTATCAATTTTATAAAAGCAATATTGCGTATGTAAAAATATCATTTTGGTCTGATGAGCATTTTTGATTGTTTCATTAAATAAATAATCACAGATGAAGGATACATCTTGAATACATATTTTGCAATGCCAAATATCTTTATTTAATAGATAACTCTACCTAACATATTTCATCTAATTTTCTTAACGTTTTAAACAATTTCTATTACAAAATATGAAGGTTAGTGAAGTAAGGCCACAAAATGCTTGTTTTTTGTTTTTTTTTAGAAAATATTTTTAAAGAGACTTTTTGGCAAACACTTTGGTGCAATATCAATTTTAATAAAACTTTTACCCTTTACTAGTCTCTTCAAAAATGTTGCTTATATGAGTCAAATTATTAAAAATTGTTATTCATCCATTTTTATTCAGTTATAATTATTGAATCCAGAGCAAAGTAATTTCGCTGTCATTTATATAAATAGAAATAAAATTCGTGTAATAATCATTAAACCATTTTTGATGAAGAGATGTCATTTTTTCCACATAATTTGTTTTTTTAATATATTTGCAGAAGTACATAGCTCAGTAAATATATCTATACATATGCATGAAAGACATAAAAGGTTCCAATTCCCATCTTGTTCTGTTTATTTAAGTCTTTCATTCATTTGTATTAAAATTGTTTATATCAAATAATACTTTTATTAAATTGTATTTTAGCTGCCAATTGCACCTACCAATTTGTACCTGTACCTGGTGATAGAGGCAGATTTGATCTCCAAAACTTTGTGCGAGAAAGATAAAACGAAAACAAAAAAAACTGAATTTCTAAAAATTGATTTGGAAACTTTTATCAATAAAACAACGTAAAATTTCGAGATTAACTTCTTGTCATAACACAAGTGGAAAGGGACGCACAATCATGTTCTTATTAGTAATGTCATTCCTTTGGCAGATACATACATCTTAGATTGAGCGAAGATCATATTTCTGTGATGTGTGATAGCGTAAGTCTTGCTAAATGTTCTTGACATTAAACATTTCATCGCTGCAGCTCTAAATCCTTGCGAGGCGATTCGCACCTTGAGTCCGGTCAGCAAAGGGCTTTTCTCGACCTCACTGAAGTGCAGTATTCCCGGATCGATGCGTATTTAATTGATATGTACTTAAGCTGAACTGTTCAATGAAATTAATTATACTATTGTTTTAAGAAACTATTCAATTTTTGTATAATGTACCGTACACGTTTTGCCTATTAAATTTGCCGTAACACATCGATATAATCATATAACTTTTATTATTTACTGAAGGGTGAAACTTAATATCCAAAAATTTAACACTGCTCAGACGTACGCCCGAGTACCTTAGTGCCAATATCAAAGCAATTTGTAACAACGGCGATCACAGAATTTGAACAGTAAGTGACACCTCCTTCTGGATCCTCCTCTCCTATTCGTATCATCGAATAGTAGCCTCTGATGCGTTCTTCGTACCACAAAACCTGCGACATAGACACTGCTTCTCTTATCCTTGTGTGCCGCACAGTCGGTCATTTAGAGAGGTCAAAACACTCGGCGACGATAGACGCGGCGCAGATATTCTCGCCGCGCAGTGACCTTCCCAGCGCCTCAAGAGACGCGGAATGTCAAAATTCATGTTTGCTAAGAATTAACAAATAGAGACATAGTATTGCATATTTCGTCTTTTCGTGGTAGATTCACAATTTAATATCTGGAAAAAAACATGTTTAATCTATTTTATTTTACATCTGAATTACTAACTGCTTTTGGGCAAAGTTAAGTACAAAAATTGTCAACATGTCTTAAGAATGTAAATAAAGAATGTTTTCAAAAATATTGGTAAGTACATAAATATAATAATTAAAAACCTACAGAATTTACGAATTATTGTGAGTCAATTACTGATTTGTAAATACACTCCCCAGATCATTGCCGTCAGCCGTCATCGTGATTGTCTCCAGTAGTTCTGCACAAGTCGATTTCGCTCGAGCGCCGTGGAAAGAAGGGGGTAGAAACGGCATTCAAAATCAAAAAAATATTTTTTGAGAATCCGAATTAAAAACTTCCATATGCAATACTTTTAATATATGGGAAGGTTTCATCTTCATAATTCGATCTGATTTCGAATTACGAAGGGAAACCGTTACTTCTGAACCGTTGAAATCCTTTACGTTTCGTTTAAACATCATTTTCTCAAATCGTACATTTATATCTTGGTTTAAAGACACCTTTCGACGTAATGTATGGTGTTGCTTTACTTGCATTACCTGCTTAGAATTTTTTAAGCCTAATTTGCATTTTCCCTGCCGTTAATCGCGGGCTCCCTTGCATGAGTCAAAAGCGTGTTTGTTGATCGCCGTCGTCTGAAGGTCAAAAGTTGTAATTAATTGTGGTTTTAATTATGGCGGTGTTATTAATCCATCAGTTTTAGTAATGGATACAAAAGCACAAGTTTTCAAACTATTTATAAAGTTAGTTTCAAAGAAAATAAGTAAACACAAACGTTTCGAAAGATGACGTGTAATTATTTTAAGAGTTAGTTTCTGAGAAAAAATATATTAGAATGTGAGATATTTTATATATTCACATAAAAAGAGATAAATTATATATGTTGTTTTACTTTCATTATATGTATTATTTTATTATTATACATTATATTTTAATAAATGCCATTATTATGTTTATTTACTGTCTGAAATTATGTAATTAATCGGTTGTCAATTATTTGCATTAACATTACTACATGAACATTATTTGAATTAACTTATTTTATTGCATTTACATGATATCCTTTCATTTACTTTTTTTTATCTTTTACATAGACAATCATTCACAGTCAGTTTCATAATTTCCTGTTTTTATATCAACATTAATTGTGTGGTCAGAAAGTGCTATTTCAAGTATTTAAGTGATAATGTTCTCCACATTAATACCAATTATTTATCAGATATTAATTTTGGGAAAACAAAGATGTCATGTAAAAGTATGGGTATTGAATTAACTTGTTATAATCATGTATAACATGTACATGATACTTTGACTAAATATTATGGTAGTAATCAGTAATGTTTTATTTTATACCTGAAAAACATTTGCAATAAGTCACAGACCAAGAATAATTAAATTTGACTTTTACTGCTCAATAAAGAACTGTGTAAATATCATGCAGTTTACTTTTATTGTACCAAATTTTATAATGGTAATTGAAATACGTAGGACACAACTTGAGCAAAATACATTATTTTGTATTATAACTTTTCTTTTAGGCATGAAGTCAGATAGAAGAAAATTTTAAAAGAATTCTGGGATCAGGAGAAACCATAAAATTTTGAAAACCAAGTACGAGTTGATGCATAAAATAACCAGAAGAACCTCTGTTACACTGATGATCACATTATTAAGTTTCAACAGAACGTTGAACCAACAAAAAATGTAAATCTGCTAGTGCTGTTCCATCACTCTGTGTAATAAATATGTGAAAACTTCAACTGCATCACAGGGAGAAGAAATTATTCACATTGTGAATGCGGAAGAAAATAACACTCAAATAATATGTAACTCGTCCAACAATTCATCTTCTTTAAAACAAAATATTTCATCTAAATTTACAAAGGAAAATACATCAACAGAACTCTCCCTACCAAATATGTTGCAGAAAGACAATATAAAAACCAGGGGAAAAGATGGACAGAGAGGAATAAGAGCACTAATTGAATATATAAAATTTAAAACAAGAATGGGAATTACCAAGTATAAAAGTGCAAAATTGACTTGTAATTTAAAATGTAAATACATTGTTCTATAATAAATAATTATTATTAAATTATTCTTATTATGTAATCTAGATGAATAATCCCTTAAAAGTTATGTCCTTTGATTCATATCACCATTGCCTCCAGGTAGAACAAACACATCATCATTTTCATCATTTGCCTCTCCATTATATTTCTTATGCAGATGTGCACTTTATCCTATACGTTTATACAGTTGTGGGAGTAGGTAGTGTTTTTCTAGGTAATAACCATTCTGTTAACTAGAGTCGCTCAACAAGATTCCGGAACCAAATTATCTGTTCTTATAGTTGGATTTGATTCGGGAGGTGTTGAAAATAACCAAATATTGTGTGTCACTGGACTGTCTTCCAACGCTATCACGATTATTTTTTTAATTTTGCAATTCGTATACTCTGTATATTAATTGAAAAATAGTTCTTCCCATTGGGAAGTTTTCTGCATTATCTCCTCTTGGCGACTGAACTTATACGTGAGTGCAGTATACTCGTACTACACCAACTGCCTGAAGGAACCGTGCTACCCCGTAGAAAGAAAGCTGAACTTCGTGCAGTTCTATGGCGTACGGCATTTCTATTCAATACTTTCTTAATGAGTCAATTGCCAGATTTACCAAATACAAAACCCGTTACCTCACTAGCCCCCCTGAAATCTATTACTGCACTTACATTGTCATATTGGCAGATGTGCGAAAAAGGTAATCCAGCAGTATCTTATGTCTAGATAGCTAACACATCGTTGTCCTCAAATTCCCACAAAAAATAATTGTTTCCTTTTGGTTTACTCTCTACTCTTCAAAGTTCTTCTCTATGTTATGGAATACAAAATCCGTCTTAAGAGTCCACTTAATTAAAACATATTGTGAAATTTGACAAATGCTGTATTTATTTTTATCACATTCTTTACAAATATAGGTTATGATGTACTTCGGGATAAAAATAGCGCTTCTGTTTTCGAAATAATATTCAGTGGTCTTTCTTTTCAAAGATGAAATTTTTAAATTGTTCATCGCTGAGCATTAGGTTGTGTGCAACCCTGTCTCGTTTTCTTTCTGAAATAAAATAAGGGAAGTAATATTCAACTTCCAACACTAATAACTTGACGGATTTCCACAACACAGCGAATGAATAATGTGGCAACCGACGATTAGATAGTTAACAGCCAAAACAAGCTCCGGTTACAATCAAGGTAACCTACAGTCAAGGAACACCAAAGATGGTCGAAGAGCATTCCGTGCTTAACGGGTGGATAAACTGTACAAGAGCTTCAACCGGGGTGGTCGAAGCAGCCCTTCGTCTGGTGAAAATAGCGAGAATCGATATTAATAAATAGCCGTTTGTCGGTAATCCTAATTAATTGGTAAATTAATGAGCGATGTTTAAAGTTAAAACTAGTTTGTAATTAATGGTGCCTTTTTAGTCATGGAATTATGCTGTATTTTTTAAATAATAATGTCAGTGAAAGCGAACATTATAAAGCCAAATAGATAACAGTTCGAGGTGCGCGAAAGTTGTCATCAGTAGGAATATCTTCAGAGGAGCGACAGGTACCACAAGAGGCCCTGATAATACTCGTACTTTTAGTCGCCGAAGGATACCAACTAGGATGAATGTGGGGTACAGCCGAAAAGCTACCCCAGACCCCAAACAATATGAAACTAACTAGTACGAAAAAGTCTGTCCGATTTTCTTGCATGACTAGTATTTTTCATAGACTGGGGAATTCCTATTCGAAACATCTTTTTTTTGGAGGCACATCCTTAAATCATCAGTAATAAGATGCAAAACAAAAATTATATCTTGCTCTAGTTGCTCAAACTTAACGATACACTCTCGGGGTCGCAGGAAATTATGACATTCTGTAGATAACCCCATTGGTAATCAGCACTAGTAAACCGTGACATTGGCTGGCGAGATAAGTTTTTGCGTTAAAAATAAAGCAAGAAAGCATCTCAGCTTTTGCCCAATGGTTCGAGGTAAACTATTCACAAAGATGTCATTATAAATTTGTCTGCAGTGACAACAATTTTTTAAAATTTCTTATCCAATTCCTTCGTTGTTCCTGTTGCCTTTACGCAGCAAACTATAACAAATAGACTGTGATTTTTGTTTTCAATACGCCAGGGTAATAGATACGTAAGATATTGAATTTATTTGTATTTATTTACCGCAAAAACAGTTAAAAACTGTGACGTGATATGGAGAGAAGTTACATTTATGTCCAGAAGCAAAACAAGGGGCCTTTTCAGCATTCGCTCAAGGGTCAGGGAAACTGGACGAACACCTGATCGACATGAGGATCATTGTCCCAGAAGCTCAAGTACAATACTTGTTACAGGTTCTTTACAATTATACAATCCAAATGATATATAATATATTAAATGTCATGGATAGAATTAATAATACTTTTCTTTTGAATGCTCGGTATAGTCTCTAATTGTATAGAAACTGTTGTACAGCAGAAAATATTTTACTTGGGACTTTAACTTTTGTATCGAATTAATAGTTTAATGTCATTTGGCAAGTTGTTGTAAAGAAATGTACATATATTACAGGGCATTACGCCCTCACTTCATTACTTCCTCAGGGCGTAATGCCCTGAGGAAGGTTGCAGAATGGCGACCGAAACGTCGGCACCTTCGTCATGGACGAGGCGTCACCCGGACAGCCTAGTAAATTCTGACTCCCGCCGCGGAAGCCTACGCTCTCACTATAGACAACGGCGTTTGGTGAAAATATATTCCCGCTCTTAAGTCATTTTTGACAAAAACTACTGATTCATATATTAAGAGACAAGGTAATGGTAAAATACCTAGATTAATAAAGAGAGGCTTACAAGAATCACATGAGTAAATAAATATAAAAAAGAAATGTGAACCAACTCCAAAAACTTTACAGAAAAAGTAACCAAGGATACTCTACACAGATTTTGAAAATCCCAGCTTCACCACAGATTTTTTATAATTGTGAGTCATCAAGTGAAGCTGATATGTTTGCTACATTTTCAAGTTCTCCGGGTTATTAGAGTACCGTATGTACACTACTTGACCATTTTAGGAATGATGTTAACAGAACATGCCATTCAAGATCAGAAGGCAGGAAAAATGATGGCATTCATATCAGAAAGGGTATCTTCTGCACAGAGAACAGTTGATGAAAGATACTTTCTGTTTCTAGTGCTTATCTCTGTTTCAGTAGCACACCAGTTGACAAAGACACCGAGTAAGAAGTGAGAAACGAACTGGAAGAGAAGAAGAGAAATAAGAATTGAGGAGAGTGAAATAAAAATAATGCAGTTTACACCACTATGTTGATTGTATAATACGTGGAAGATGAGACGAAGAAAACAGACGAAGAAAGACAAAATGATGACGAAAGAATGATAGATAAATTCAAACATCTTAGTTACTTTGCTGTGCAAATTACAGGAGTCGAAGAAACGAAGGAACAGCTTGCAATTACAAACGCTCTGTTGATTTCACCCATTACGTAATCTCGACGATTCCAGGAGTTCCCAGCAGAAGCTGCGCAGGGGCCGGTCGCCTTCACGCCCCCCCCCCCGGCCCAAAGGGGGCGGAACGGCGCCTTAGTTCGGCGCGGATCCCGTGGCGCTCGGTGCGCGCACATTCAAGGGCTCCTGGGAATCCGACCGCCCCTTCCAAAATCCGCCCGCCCGACGCCGCCCCGACGCCGCCCCGACGCCGCCCTGACGCCGAAGCCAACGTCTAGGGCGGCACTTCCACCTCCGTGAAAAAACATTCACTATAGTAAAGGGAATAATTTGCTTAGAAGTTGAGGTGTACTTTACTTCAAACAATTACCAAGCTATCTACACTACCTAGATACCTGGGTCGAATTCAGTTGCTGTATGGAGGAGATTTCTAGTGATCCACTCCTCTGGACAGCTGTTTCCTGTAATTTCTTCGATTAGTACCAGGGAAATGCCGAAGCAGTGCCCTAACAAACGGGCCCGGACTACGTGCGATCTTACTTTTTTCTCTTCTTTGACGTGCGATCTTTTTTCGTCCTCTACTTTCACACATGCCGTGAATCCAATAGGCAGCTTAGAGCTTGTCCTGGCTGGAGTAGTGCCCGCTAGAGGCAGTTACCCCGTGGAGGAAATTGCACTACTCGACGTGTAGGTTGCAGTCGAATCTCCCCGTGCAGCGGCAAAGAAACACCGCCTGATCCATGGGTAAATGATTCTCTAAACTAACCGAACTAATGACCAAAAAATTTTTTCTCCTCCAGAAACATCAAACTTTGGCTTGAGAGCATCTCTACGAACACCGCCACCCTAGTCGCCGCCAACGTCACTGTTACCGTCGCCGACATTGACGCTGGCTGACACCGTCACCGACACCGATACTGTCATCGTCACCGTCACGTCATCGTCACTCTCACCGGCACCGAATCATTATTGACACCTTCATCAATGCATTCACCGACACAGACACAGAAATCGACATCGGCACCGACACCGTCACCGTCGGCGTCACTGATACTGTCACCGACATCGAATCCAACACCGTCACCGAATCATCACCGATCTACATCGATACATTCACCGACACCGTCAGAAATCGACACCTTCACTGACACCTTCAACGACACCTTCAACGACACCTTCAACGACACCTTCACCGACATCATCGTCACCCTCACCGATGTTTCCGTCACCGACGTGTCCGTCACCGACACCGTCACCGATACCATCGCCGACATGATCGACCGACACCGCCGCATCCTTCACTTTCGGCACCGCCCCCTTCGGTCTCCGCCTCCGCCGCCGCCAAGGAATTAGCAGCCACCGCCGCGTGCATAGAAACGCGCGCTTTAAACAAATGCCTTCTAATGGGCCGCGCCATTTGCATAAACCTGCGCTCCTAATTGCGCTTCGCACTCGGCCGCTGTTTGGATTCCCGCGATGCGAAAACGCGGCGGAGCGAGCAGGGCTTTGGCGGAAAAATGTGTAATGGGGTGCGATTATTGCTGGGGCGGTTTTGGATGGGAAAATCGCTCATTT